TCAGCCGACAGTGAGGTTGTAAGAACAAAAGACAACCACAGTAATAATGTTAGCGCTTTCCTGGTTTGGGCTAAGTGAATGACTAAAAGGAAGCTAGTACTGCGTATAATTCTGATAAACTTGCTATTTGGTTACCAGAAATTTAAGTAATTTTATCAGACCATCAACAAACAAATCTCAACTTCTCTATGCTCAGGGACAGAGCTTGGCTGTGGCCACATACACACTTTTCATGCAGGTATTTCCAGTCTGACAACACATGCTTGTTTAACGTTCTACATTTGTACCGACCATAAGCACGTCATTGCCCCTAGCAATGGTTTGTGTCATATAACCATATAGGAAAAATCACTTTCAGTATAGTTTCTTTGCTATCTGTTGGAATAATGTTTCTGTGTGTTGTACTGCCTGTTAAAATGATCAGGTCATCAGAAAAGCCTATTGATATCTATACAGGAGGCTTATTTCTAGGGCTGTAACTGGTTTATAGTTTAGTCTATATAACATCAAAACATCAGCAGAGCCAGACTTGATGTCTTCATATCATTCTGATCAAACAAAAGTCCAAATATCCAAAAATATTTAGGTTATATGCCAAATGGCAGAAAAGAATCAAAAAATAATTTATACTTACTATTTTGCTTGAAAATGAAAGTTATTTTAAAAAGGAGCAGCTTGTTCTAACTTGCTTCAGTTCTAAATATTTAGGCCAATACTTTTTAATTTTAGTGAACACTGTAAGAGCATAAAACATTTTTATTACTTGCATTGTATGTGTACATACTGCCAAGATGGGTACGGTATGTACATTCAGACCGAAAATGCGGGTGATTTCCAGTAAATCATTAAGTTCTCAGGTAACGCACAAATCGAATGGACCAAACTCTTATTTCTTCTCTGGGTAAGTTTAGATAATGGCTGTTCTGGTTTGTTGGCCTGTTTACATGTACAGTATGACCCCTTGCTGACCAACGCCGCATCCCAACATGATTGCATCATCGGCCTGAAAGATGATGACTACAGAGGCTCCTTAACGCCAGGCATAAGAGTCCTGCCAATGTTGCAATCATATTCATATGATTGAATGGTTATAACGCCATCCTGTTACTGAAGTGTCATCTAACAACACTGAAAGTTGTCAGAGCCCGCAGCAGGTGCTTTTGTCGACTTCCATCTTGTTGCACTTTTGACAAGTGACACTCGCTCACAGGTGAAGTGCTGGTGTCGACATTTAGTAAGCTAACTAGCTAGCTAAAACATAAACAGCGACTCACCTTTGAAAAGATAGTCATATTCGTCTTCTCTGTTCGACATAGTTTCCCCTTTTCGGTGAATTTTCTCGAAGTCGAACAAACCTATGGTATATATTCAGCTAGCGTTAACGTTAACCAACGTTACTTCGGGACACACCGTTCACGATTTAACGTCACAGGAAAAACGGTTAATTTTCACTCAGACGAATACAAAGCTGAATCACTGACTGAGTAACACAATAAGATACTACTGCTGTTATCCGCATACAAAACAATTAGCAACCCCTAGCTGAAAAAGTTTCGACTTCTCTTCCTCGCCCTCTGTCACTTGCCATCACTGAAGCCGCAACGTAACGTCTATTTGCCCCGCCCCTTAATTGCTCCTATTGGTCAATAACTGTTCGACACCTGTCTGTAGCGTCGACATGATTGGTCCACCCTCCTCTCGTTCATATTTGTTAACTTAGATGACGTATATGGCTCCAACCCTCAACAGGTAATATCCAAGCCTCAGGTTAGCACCAAAACCAAGCTGATTAATGGAGGCATTGTAAATATGTTGCTGCGACACGTGTCACTGCACTGCAGCCTAACAGCACAGACTATGTCACCTGCCTGGCAGGGTTTAGAACCATTTATTGAGCTAGCTCAGTCAGAAATAAAATATCATTGTTGAAAAGGTTGCACACTAGACCGGGGGAGGGGCACTATTTCAACCCTGGAAATCACCTTGACCATTCCAAATTTTACATATTTGTGAGTTATATTATTTATAAACAATAATTGATATGTGGAAATGTGTTTAAAAATACATTAAAAATAGTGATGCCCACAGTGAAGCTACATTACTGAATACATGATCAGGAACCACCTGCTATGCCTTCGTGTTTCTTAGAGAGTTGAGCTTGCCAGAGGAAATTTACTAGTTACAGTTTACTAGTATGTGTTGTCAGAGCATTACATTTTAATTGAATAGCTGCTGAAGTGATAAACCTTAACTAATTTGGTATTTCAAATAACATTTTGTAGGCCAGGGTCTCCATAAATCCTTTATTTCTAAACAGATATTCAATCAGTCTCATCAGAGATCATAAGCTGGAGCACACGCACAGCAGTGACAGCAGCACAGTTCCTACATGCATGACTTTTAATAAAACAAACAGTCATGTGCAACTTACATATTAAACACAACAGATTCAATCACGTGTCTGGGCTTTTCTAAATTTTCTGCATAGATTATAAATATAACATTTTACAGGTGACAGTTTAATGTTTTGTCTTTGACCTATGTTCAATGGGCCATAGCAGGGACTTTTAAAAGGGGGATGTTGGTTTCCAGCTACATTCATTCACATTTATGAATCATGGTTTGAATATGTCACACCACCTTGTAGCTTGTACAACTTGTAAATCAGTCATTTCAAAGTGGCATCACTTAAGCAAGACCATCAGTATTGGCACCCACAGTGTGACAAATTGCCTGCATCTCCTCCAGCTCCAGCTCAGGCCTGTGGATGGAGGAGTTCACTTGTTTTCCACCCTGAGGCCTCCGGTTTCCCAAAGGACAGTGTAATCAGATGTTCCTGCAGCAGGGCTTATTCTCCTCTGTGCTTTCTGCTCGTGAACTATTTAAGGACACAGCACCAATGGAGCCCCGAATCACTTCCTTACTGCTCACCTTCCTGTGAATCTCTGAGGCAAAATATTGACATATTACACCTTTACATTATGGTATCATCAAAAGAAGTTCAAAAGTGTTGTCATGCTTTGATAGGAAAAAATAGCCCAACCCCTTCATGGACAAAACAAAGTATCTACTGTATGCTGCTCAAACTTCCATACTGGACAAACGATGATTAGTAAAGGATAGCAGCACTTCAAAAAAGATATGGTGAAGTGCTTGTTCCCAAACAAACACCAACCAAAGGTACTGTTTCCAGACTATCTTTAATCTCAAGGCCAATCATACTGCATACTGTAGCTGGCTCTCATCTTCCAAAGGTCATGTTATTTTGACCTTTTTCTGACTTTCTCTAAGACCTCCATAAGCTGAGGAACTGGAGATTTGGTTATGTGAGGTTATATTCAGGATCACAGAGTGGATCCTTAATCTTAGCATTTTTATGAAAGCAGGTATTCAGTCCACATTCAAGGAGGCTTAGAGGGAATGCACATGTACAGTACATGGAAAGGACCTGGCCAGAGGATCAAACCTGGCACCTCCTGGCTATAAAGCAGTCAATCATTGTATTTATTTAATCGTGACAAGGGAGTTTTTCCTCCCCACAGTCACCATGTGATTGCTCAAGGGGGATTTGTTGGCTTTTCCTCTATAGTATTAATAAGAGTACGGTCTAGACCTTACTTTGTAAAGTGTCCTGAGATGACTTTAGTTGATTTGATGCTATACAAATAAACTGAACTGATTTTAACTGAATTGTCAAGCTTAATGTATTATTACAAAGATTATGCTTCTCTTTAGATTTCTGCAGCTTTTGGACAACTAATTTGCATAATGGGAATTAACAAAGTAGGAGAAAAACTAAATGCATCAGCATGCAACACATTACATGTACCTGCTAGGACTATGTTGAATGCCGCTTCCACATTAGTTGAGTCCAAGGCTGAGGTCTCCAGAAAAAAAAGACCTTTGTTAGCTGGATAATACAAACAAGATATGTTAGTTGTTAAATTCACATTTGTATTAGTTTTTTTTTTTTGCTACTATTGCTTGTGTTACTTTAGCAACAGTATTTGACTTATAAATCCTAACAATCTTCAGTACAGAGATTTGTTGATGATGTTGTACCTGCAAACTCTTTGGCCTCATCAGTGGGCACAGATCTCTCTGATTCCAGGTCAGTCTTGTTGCCCACCAGCATGACCACGATGTGGGGGTCAGCATGTTCATAGAGCTCCTTTAGCCAGCGCTCCACGCTCTCATAGGTGAGGTGTTTGGTGATATCATAAACCAGCAGGGCTCCAACAGCACCTCTGTAATACCTGTTTAGGGGAGATTACTTACTTTTTAAACTTGGGAGCAGCAGAAATGAGTTGTAAGCACAATAATGAAATTGGCTTTTAAGTTTATATAGTGAACTTGTTAGCAACAGCAAATTTAGCAGATATCACACAACAGTAGCATTCATTTGGAAACATGTCTTTGGCCATCTGATGAATTTAGGTCCAATATTTGATCTCCTTTTAGCTCTGTTTTGGTCTCAGCCAACTTCTGAAGGAAGTACCTCATTCACTATGTTTAGCCAGGTGCAAACTGTGCCTGTCTGCTGTTTAGCACTGGGGTTTTAAAACTACTGTGGCCAAAAACAACACTGTAAGAGCAGTGAGAGCGAACCAGTAAAGTTTCAAGCTGATGAGATGAGAGAAGCTGCAGTCTGTTAATGATTCTCAGTGACCCCTTTCATAATACACAGTCTTTGAATAACTGCTGTTATAAAAGATGTCTATTGCACCTGCTTTAGACACTGCTGTACCTTCACTGAATACAAGCTGTTTCTCCTGCTATCAGTTGAGCTTTATTAACTGATGATTGCTCCAAACTCATGAACCAGTCAACACTTACAGTATTGTTCAAAATAATAGCAGTACAATGTGACTAACCAGAATAATCCAGGTTTTTAGTATATTTTTTATTGCTACATGGCAAACAAGTTACCAGTAGGTGCAGTAGATTCTCAGAAAGCAAACAAGACCCAGCATTCATGATATGCACGCTCTTAAGGCTGTGAAATTGGGCAATTAGTTGAAAGGGGTGTGTTCAAAAAAATAGCAGTGTCTGCCGTTGACTGTACAAACACAAAACTATGTTGTACAAACGTTTTTGTTTCTAGGATTTAGCAATCCTGTGAATCACTAAACTAATATTTAGTTGTATGACCACAGTTTGTTATAACTGCTTCACATCTGTGTGGCATGGAGTCAACCAACTTGTGGCACCTTTCAGCTGTTATTACACTCCATGATTCTTTAACAACATTCCACAATTCATTTACATTTCTTGGTTTTGCTTCAGAAACAGCATTTTTGATATCACCCCACAAGTTCTCGATTGGATTAAGGTCCGGGGATTGGGCTGGCCACTCCATAACATTAATTTTGTTGGTTTGGAACCAAGACTTTGCTCGTTTACTAGTGTGTTTGGGGTCATTGTCTTGTTGAAACAACCATTTCAAGGGCATGTCCTCTTCAGCATAAGGCAACATGACCTCTTCAAGTATTTTGACATATGCAAACTGATCCATGATCCCTGGTATGCGATAAATAGGCCCAACACCATAGTAGGAGAAACATGCCCATATCATGATGCTTGCACCACCATGCTTCACTGTCTTCACTGTGTACTGTGGCTTGAATTCAGAGTTTGGGGGTCGTCTCACAAACTGTCTGTGGCCCTTGGACCCAAAAAGAACAATTTTACTCTCATCAGTCCACAAAATGTTCCTCCATTTCTCTTTAGGCCAGTTGATGTGTTCTTTGGCAAATTGTAACCTCTTCTGCACGTGCCTTTTTTTTAACAGAGGGACTTTGCGGGGGATTCTTGAAAATAGATTAGCTTCACACAGACGTCTTCTAACTGTCACAGTACTTACAGGTAACTCCAGACTGTCTTTGATCATCCTGGAGCTGATCATTGGCTGGGCCTTTGCCATTCTGGTTATTCTTCGATCCATTTTGATGGTTGTCTTCCGTTTTCTTCCACGTCTCTCTGGTTTTGCTCTCCATTTTAAGGCATTGGAGATCATTTTAGCTGAACAGCCTATAATTTTTTGCACCTCTTTATAGGTTTTCCCCTCTCCAATCAACTTTTTAATCAAAGTACGCTGTTCTTCTGAACAATGTCTTGAACGACCCATTTTCCTCAGGCTTTCAAATGCATGTTCAACAAGTGCTGGCTTCATCCTTAAATAGGGGCCACCTGATTCACACCTGTTATTTCACAAAATTGATGACCTCACTGATTGAATGCCACACTGCTATTTTTTTAACACACCCCTTTCAACTAATTGCCCAATTGCACAGCCTTAAGAGCGTGCATATCATGAATGCTGGGTCTTGTTTGCTTTCTGAGAATCTACTGCACCTACTGGTAACTTGTTTGCCATGTAGCAATAAAAAATATACTAAAAACCTGGATTATTCTGGTTAGTCACATTGTACTGCTATTATTTTGAACAATACTGTACTTCAGAATTACATTTCTGCTCCCACCTTACAGCAGCATAATTAATTCTGCTTTAACTGCTTTTAGCTGCTTGTTACAGCACAAATAGGAAATTCCACGGGAGTGAGAATTTGCATACTGGAATAACTTGGTAAGTTAATTACTCAAAAGCCAAGCAGTAAGAAAAGAGCTAATCCAGTGGTGCAGTATGACCTTAGATATTTCAGTTTTAAAAATAAAACTGACATGGTTTCATTGTTTTAAACCCAGGTTCCACATTGTTAATCCTTCAGTTTAATTAAAAAAGAAAGAATCATGGGCACCCTGACAGCAGAAACCTGCTGAGAACTGAGTGTTCAAATCAAAGTCTCTGCTCTAACCAAGTGGATGTTAGAAACCAGGTTTGTTGAAAAGTGAAAGTAGACAAGTGTGTGCTGGTTATTTTCAGGTAATGCAGGAGGAAACTGAGGCTCAGTGCCAGTCCTTTTGGCTGATAACTTCACCACCTTAAATTGCTGACATACTGTACAAGTTGCTCAGCAACTATGAAACAAGAAAACAAGCATGAATGTTGATTTAAACTGTCCTCACTTTGTGTTCCGGCTTACAAAGTGAGCATACTTGAAAAGGAGTGAAAATTTCAACACAGTGCATTAAGTCTGTTAATAGCACACAAAGGAAATAGCCTACATACAGTAAGTTACTCCAAGTTGAATTGAGAATGGTATGATGAGATTTGAATCATGATCCTATCTCCATTAACTGAGATTCTGTCAGGCTTATCCAGATTAGTTACCACATACCATAATTACTGTATTTACCACTGATCTCTGTACCTGTTTACAGTTGTGTTGCTATTTGCTGCTGGCTGTACCTTCATATTTACCAAAGAGGACAAACTCCAGGCCTTCTTGTGGCCTCAAGGTGAAACGTACTAGTCTCATGATAATGTTGTTCCTTACACCAGTGTCTCTGGAGTTTTAATCCCTTCAGACTTTTTTCCTTTCTCCCTTCTAACCCTAAACTACCTTGGAGTTAGGTGAAGTTAAATATAGACTGCTTCATATTTAACATACAGATATGATAGTGATATCAAATGTCTCATCTCAGTCTTGGCAAGGAAACAAATAAGCTTATTTCCTTTTTAACGTATACTTTTAGAGTTAGTGAAATGATTTTCCATGAGTTTTTTTTGTCTTAACCTGTATGTCACAGCCACATAGCAGAAAAAAAATGTAATTGCTTACACATGTTCAACATTATTACAAGTCAAAATCATCCTGGAACAGATTCCATTTCTTTCGAGATAGTAAAACCACTAAATAATGTGACTACAATGCATGTTGCATGGTGGATAAGGGGTTCCTTTTCTATGCCCATCTTCTCTCCTTGGACTGAAAACACAAAGGATATAGCCCTTCTCTTTTGATTACCAGATGAACTTTCAGGAAATGTAGGAAATCAGTAACTGGAGTGCAAATAGTGGACATATTGTAGCTTGACAAAACGTGGGCACACCAAAAATGTAATATTGGTGTAAGATTTAATCATAAATAACTGCAGAAATGCCTTTAAAGGCTACAAAAAGTAATGCAGATTGAAGACACATAACCCAGAGATACAGATGTAATAAGAGTAAAATGTGAGAATGAGTGCATTGGTATATACAAATATACCAGTAAAAGCCATAATGGGTCTTGGCACTCACGCAGAAGTGATGGCCCGGTATCGCTCCAGGCCAGCTGTGTCCCAGATCTGGGCCTTGATGGTGAAGCCACTCAGCTGTACCGTCCGTGTGCTGAACTCCACCCCAATGGTTGTGCGGCTGTCATGGCTGAACTCATTTTTGGTGAAGCGGGACAACAGATTGCTCTTTCCTACACCAGATTCACCTATTAGAACCACTACAGACGACACAAACCACAGGGACATTTGAATTAGAGTTTATTTTGGGGGTTTGGTTGTTGCAAAACTACACCCGGTATGTCAGTCTTAACTAAAGCTCTTAGTCTGGGTGTGTCTTTCTTGCTTGTCCCATAAATCTCCATAAAGTCTAAGCTGTCTGTCTGCAACTGGAGCTTATTACACCATTAAGGATAAAATATTGTCTATTACAAACATCACCACACCCTCATGGTAAAGGAGTTCATTATTTTAACTCCGATGCAGGGGTCAAAATGGACAGAGGATGCAATGAGTAAAATACTGGAAAGCAATGTAGGATGCAGACCTGTAACAGAAAACACCAGATCATTTATTAGTAAAGGGATAATATAATATTATTCTATACATGTGACTTGTTTACCCTACTGAGGATCTGGTCGGGCTGTATGCTATCCCATCATACACTGGATGAGAGGTCAGTTGTAAAATACGTTGCTTGTTTTGTTTATTTAGACACAAGGAAATGACAAGTGACAAGATAAATAAACCTTTGTTTGGGAGAGATGTGGTTTCAGAAGTAAAAGGACTTATTTGTCTTTTCTCTCACTGGGTTTCCATACTGTATATGTGTGTCTGTACTTCTCTGAATGTACCTAAAGAGCTGTTTTTATTTATCAGTGCAATCATGACAGAACAGCAATCTTTTATTTTTGGTCAGTCACGCCTCAATTGTGGTACGATTTATATCAAAGAATCTAATTTTAACAAAACTGAAGGATAAATGTTGATTCTGTATATTAGATGTATACTCCTTCCTCTGGAAAACATTTGAGGATTTAAACATTTCACAGGTAAGCCTTGGTGTCAGAAAAAAAAAAGTTTCTAAGAGCAGTAGGTGATTCAAAGTCAGGTGAAACAAGTTAAACTGCTACGTCCTCCTGTCTTCATCAGAAGAACCCACCTACTGGGCAAACAAGACAAGAAATAGCACAGATACCCCCTCTGTAAATTTCAGTGACTAATGCTTGGGTGTCTGTTGTTGGTAGCTGACTCACAGTGAAAAAAGGCAAGGCATTAGTAGAGACAGGAAAGTGTGACCACATTATGAAAAGACTGCAGCACTGAAGTCTCTGCACTTTGGTTAAGACACAATTACAGCTTACTGCTGAGGTGTGGGAGCTCAGGAATACTGAGAAAATTATCCACATATCCATTATGACATATCCACAGCCATTAAATGTGGAGTTAGGGCATGATGGGTGAGAATGTAGAAATATGCTTTCTTTCTGATCAGGGGTTCAGTGGGAAGATTAAAACATCTAACATATTTGTTGCTCATGAAACTACAGCCAGAGGGTGGTTAACTTAGCATGAGGACTGGAAACTAGGAGTAAATAAGAGCTGAGCTCTGTCTGAAGGTAAAAAAACAGATCCATCTTCCAATTTAAGCCATTAATTAGCACATTATATCTTGTTTGTTAAATCTGTACAAGAACTAAAATGTCCAAAAAAAAAGCTGATTGTGGTGAGTTATGAGCTACAAGTTCTTGGATATGAACATTTTGGATACAGCCATTCTATTTAGCATATCTTTAAGCTATGCTAAAATCACATGCTCATTTTTTTATTTTAAAGAGAGACCTATCTTTTTAACCACTCTGGAGTTCCCTGACCTATCTTGTTTCCGTACCGGTGGCTCGGGACAGACACACTGCCAGCACCCCCCTATGATTTATTACTCATTTATTTGTTTGTATCCTTTTTCTCTCCCCTACATCTACTCACTCATAGCTCGCTGCCCACTCTCCCTTACCTTATATGTATACTGAACACACCCTCACACACATGTACACTCATTATACACACTTATGTTTTCTATGCTCCTTTGTAAATGTCCTGTAACTATTGTTCTATCTTTCATGTCATGCTAATGTCCTATGTTTAGTGCTGAAAAAATAATATGCTTTTAAGTAAAGGACTCGAACACTTCTTCTACCACTGGTGACTGTGGAGAAAACATTTTCATTAAAAGGTCCATTTAAGTAACCGTTTAGGAACTTTCAGTCATATCACATGATCTTCAGCAGCAGATGGAGTTTGCCCAGTCAGGGCAGAGGAACTGTGGATGTTCAAATTTCCAACTGCTGATGAAGATCATGTGATACGATTTAAAGAGCCAGAACAGTTACTAAATGAACCTTGGAGTGAGACTGTATACTGAACTGTTTTCTTTTCCAAGGGCAAGAGTGAATTTTGCACCTCAACCTTTGAGCCAACCTTGATGAGAAGTCCTTAAAATGCATGGAAAAAAACTGGCATTAATCAGAAAATACCATCTGCTGATGAATATTATGTCAGCAGCTACTAAATGGACCGTCTTCTTAGCTGAAGTTTCCAAGGCCAAGAAAGAACTCTGCATGGAGTTTAAAATCACTTGTTCACTATTCACTGTTCATAGAACCACAGCTAAAAATCGCTGGCACTTGTTTCCTGAACACCTGCTGATTTGTATAAATGTGCACTTTTACAAATAACACAACTCCCAGTTTCTGACTGAAGTTTGAGGTCATTTATAAGCTGCTCCACTTTAGGTAATTGTTCACTCTGCAGCCACATCACTGTGGCACTTTTTTCCAGTGGGTGAGTTGGTAAAATGCTTCTTGTCATCCTCTTCTCCTCTACTACTCAGTAACTTCTTATGCAAACAATAAGGCAATACAAAACAAATGCTCCCTAGCAGCCTGGTTTGTCCGAGATGTGTTGTAGTGAGGATCAGATTTTCCTTTTGCTTGTTTTCATGACCTTAAGGAGAGGAAATATAACTGCTGTGCTGTAAACAGTAATGCTGTTTATCTTTATTTGATAACTTTAGTTACTAGTTACTTTTTAGAAGCAGATTACTACAAAAACAGGATAATCACAAATATTTCTGGATCCCTGGTGAGAAATTCACAAGCTGCCCATTGACATAAATCATTCAAAATTGAATTATTAGATTTAAAACACAATCATCAAAACAACATAGAATTAGCTCCATCTTTACCAGCTCCAACATTAAAGTGATGCACACAATAATGCATCCATAATATAATACAATAATATAAACTATTGTGAAATGTGCAACTCTGATCATTATGAGTACTTTTATTTGTGGTAGTCCAAGTTAATCTTGATTCTAATGCTTTTGCAATTCTATTTAAGTTAAAGCTTGAGTGCAGTGAGGACACTGGTACTACTACTTTTAATTAAGTAAAGAACCTGATTACATCTTCCAGCACTTATTCAAGCATTCTCTGTGTAGGCTGGAAAAACTATGTGAAACCCCAGGCTATTTAAAATCAATTAAAAAAATAATAAAATAACTGAAATCGTCAGCAAATCTGAAGTTAAAAGGTTAGAGCTAATTTGTCTTATTAAAAACACTCAAACATTCTGAGTTTGCTGTTCCCAAGATGATTCTGCGGATGTGAGCCGAGCCTCACAAAAGAGATTCCACAAGATGCAGACTTGTTGATTTGCATAAATCTGTAATGGGGTACAAAGTAATCTCACATAGGCAGATATTCATCAGTCCACACTTAGACAAGCTACGAGTGGAAGCAATTGAAAGAGTCTGGGCAAAATTAGAAATCCAGCTGCAATACTTGCTAGGATTGCTAGCATAAAATAAATTGTGTTCTTCCACAGTTTGCTCATGCACAGCATGTGTAGGGGACAAGCATGTGCTGGTCTACATTCCTAACAAACACCACAGAATTAGATTTTACTGATTAGAGTTAACAGAGAATCACTGGCTGAAATGAAATTATGCACATACTTTTGAGATGATCTAACACACACTGCAAGGAGCACTGCAGCATTAACTGAGTGCTGAGACAAGTGTGAGCCAGCAAGCATCCAAGATGTCTGAGTTTCTTTACTATGAATAAGACCATGCTGGCTGTAGCCTTACATGTTTTTGGTCTAATTACTATGAGCAGTATTAATCTTCAAATCTAGCTCTTGGCTTTTTGTACAGAGAATGTACAGAGATAAAGGGGTGTGACATGCAACAAAATTCCCCAGCTGGAATCACACCAAGGTGGCACAGTGGAACGTCACAGCAAGAAGGTCCTGGGTTCTAGCTCGAGCTGACCAGGGGCCTCTCTGTGCAGAGTTTGCATACGTATTCTCCCTGTGCCTGCGTGGGTTCTCTCTGGGTACTTAAGCTTCCTCCCACAGTCCAAAGACATGCAGCTTAGGTTGATTACAGCTGTATATAAGCACTTATACTATGCTATGTAGGTTGAGGGCAAATTTAAATGAGTGAATTTTTCATTTTTCATGTACACTAACAATACTTTTACAGACTGGGTGTGTTATACTTGGAGGAAAATGACTGATGTACTTTGTCTGAAACCAGACAATATGTTATAGTGTTGTTCAGCAAAAGATGCTACAGATAAAAAAGAACTGAAATACTCATCCTGGTTTCAATAAAAACATGCATTAATCTTTTTTTTCCCCAGAAACAACATGTTGAACTGGACATTTCACTGAGTGTAGCTCTCGAAACGTACAGTAAATTTACCTAAACAACAACTAGCTGACATGGGTTCAGCTCATTAATTATCCAAGTTGTGCATTCCTGGCTACTGTATCCTATGCCCAGCTGTTTATTGTTAATAATATATTAGATTCTGTTAACACACAGCACATACTCCTGTTCTTAGGACCAAGTTAATAATAAACAAGGAAGTACAATTTCCATTACAAAGCAACATTATAAAATGACAACCTTTAGACCCTGTAGGTTTATACCTGGGGATCAACTCAAGTAAGCAGAAGAACATGTACCTACCCTTAAAGACAAAGTTGTAGCCGTCATCTGACCCCATGTTGTGTCCATGCAGTGTTGCTGCCCCACTCGACTGATCACAGGATATAAGACGACACTGACTCACACCACAACTAGCTGCCTGCTTAGATCCTCAGGCTTCAGGAGAGAAAATGGCTGCAAAAATGTTTTGACACGTGAATACAAGTCGCCAGCTCTCTGCCCTTCACTACACTTCCCAGTTTGAGTGAACAGAAAGCTGGCTTGTTTGAACAAGGCACGCGGCATGTATCCAGGTTGCTCTGCTGCAGCAGGCGGGGTTTGTCTCAGGGAGTGGTGCAGCAGTGATGGAGGTGTGTTTAATGGAGCCAGTACGGGGGGTGGGGTGTTGGACAGGTAGGGCAACTAGCAAGTACAGCCCAGAAGGACTTCTCAGGTGCCTCCTGGTGGACAAATCAAATGCAGGAAAAAGAGAGCAAGTGTCTGCTTCATCACTAAATAAGAGACACATAACAGATTATATTGTATTTCTGTAATAGTGAACAAGTCAGTTTTGACTCATGACTTTTAAATCAGTTTCTTCTTAAGTTCCACTGCAGAAAAAAATAACAGAATGGCACTTTCAGTTACAAGAATGTGCACATGCATACAATATAACAATTTCTCCCTCTGCCAGTATAGACATCCATACTTTCCTTCTTGTCATATTGAGCTTTAATATAATAAGACCTGTTCTTATTCAGTCTTCCTATCTGCTTGTGGTAAATTCAGTTGTGCCTTTCAAAAATGCATTCAATTTAAAAATGCCTTTTTGTCTACTTCATAATCATGAGACCTGAAATTTGGACTGATTTAATCAGACATCTTTCATATTCTTCTATTTTCTCTTTGCCAAAGAGGTCAAGGTCCCTGAGACCATAACGAGTCTTAGATTTTGCATTAGATTTGACCATAACTGCACTATTACAACATAGTGAGGCCTTTTACTTAATTCTTCATTTTACCCTAGTCTTACATGTTTACCAAAATCTCTTACATTATTGCCCATAGTTGTTTTCTCTAAACACTGGCATATAACTGTGCAACAAATACAAGAAACAAAAATCTGACTTCAAGTAGTTAAAAAACAAGCAAGCACCAGGTTCTGATTAGACTCCACTTAGAATGAATGCCCAAGGTTTGTTAGTTTTTCAAACATTACACTATTCAAATTATTTAAATAATTTCAGGTCTTAAGGGAAGCGAGTAACCGATAATATGTACAGACAAACTAAATGACATTCCTGGATAAATGAATGTCCCCTCCAGGATGTCAGTCCCCTGTGGATGAGGGCACGAGTCATCACTGGATGGTTTGATGAAAACGATGTGAATCATACGTTATAGCCTTCACAGTCACCAGATCTCAACCCAGCTGGACACCCGGGGGAGATTTTGGAGTGATGCATTAGACAGCATCAGCATCTCCACCAGCATTATCAAAACACCATGAGGGAACTATTTTTATCTCCAGTAGAGTTCAGAGACTTGGAGAGTCAATATCAAGGTACACTGAAGCTGTTCTGGTGGTATGTGGTGGCCCAGCACCTCACTGACACTTTGTGTTGGCTTTTCTTTTCACCTGTCACCCATCTGTATATCCTGCGATTATCTACAGGAAAATGTTGTAAAGCTTCAAGTACCACATATGCTGTAATCAACTCAGAACTAAATACTTGTTCACTTTGAGAAAACTATTGTTTTAACAGCAGCATGTCCCTCCATCCATTATCTATACCGCTTACCCTGAGTAGGGTTGCAGGCAGCTGGAGCCAACCCCAGCTGACATTGGACAAGAGGTGGGGTCCACCCTGGACAGGCCCCCAGTCTATCACAGGGCTGACATGTAGACAACCAACCACACACACACCTGTATTGCACCTATGGGCAATTTAGAGTCCCCAATCAACCTAAGCTGCATGTCTTTGGACTGTGGAAGGAAGCCAGAGTACCTGGAGAGAACCCATGCAGACACAGGGAAAAGATGCAAACTCCGCACAGAAATGCACTGGGTTGGTAGGGGCTCGAACCTGGAACCTTCTTGCTGTGAGGTAGGTGATCACTGCGCCACCATGCTGGCCACCCATCATCACATGTACTTGAAAAATAAATCAGTAACAATGCAGACTTAATATGCTTTAGAATAAATAGTGACAACTATATACATCGCAAATGCTTCATATTCTTGAAGATGAACTTTTCATAATAGATTTCTACTTGACAATGAAAATGATCAGGAAATACTGACACTATGAAGACAGCCTAGGCCCAATCCTGGTAAACCTGATATTTTGACAATGAACTAATCTATGGGCCATCTCTACTCACACAACTCCAGCCACTCAGTATGCACAATAACAAAAAAGACTGGTTAAATATTAATCCAAAATGTGTTTATTTGATAGCTTTGAAATATCTAGTAATCTTTACTTCATGGGACAGAAATTCCTTTGAAAGTTTCCATACACCTTCTGTCATTTTAGTCAGAGTTCAAAATATTCAATTTTCTGTGTAACTGTAATTGACATGCCTGAAGTAAAACTAGAAATGAATGAACCGACCACAGGAACAGCCGATAATGGAATCAGTTCAGCAGACGTACATCCAAATGTGCTACTGACAAATTATGTGGACTCCCAGAACAGACCATTAGATGAAGAGATTCACAAGCAAGGGCAAAGAGTCAAAAATCCATAGAAGCCCTTAGTTTCAATACTAGTATTATTAATGATTATATGTACACTTACCCACCAGCCCTCCACAGCACACAAACATTCACTCACTCACTTATAGATATATCTGTGCATTATGCACTTTGTGAAAACCAGAATGTTACACTAGTCCATTAATCATATGAAGCGACAGGCTGAGCTTGATCAACATGTCCACTATGATGCGGCCACTTGGGTTAATGGTTCCTCCAGGTACTCCACCAGCGCCTCTGCCTATAAACACAACACACACATACTGCTATAAGTTTCTACTATATTGCTGAATGTAGATGGTTGTGTCCTCTTCCAGGTGTTTCCGAAAGACACAACACAATGTAAAAAGGGTTATATTCAGAGTGAGGAATAATATTTGAAACAGTTTTAACAATTACCTTTATGTACTATCAGGCTTCCTGTAAAACTGTCTCTGAGGAGAATCCACCTTAAAACAGGTTTATTGCAGAGCTAATATGATACGACTGGATTTAACTTATTTAGTCATATACTGCATTATACAGAACAGTACAGAACTGCAATCATTAGTTGATGAATCAATTAGTTACCTGACAGAAAGTAAGCAGGAACTGTTTAGAAAATGAATAAGTAATTTGAGAAAAAATGCCAAATATATGTTCATTTTAGCTTCTCAAATGAGAGTATTTTCTGCTTTTCCTTGTCGCTCTTCATAGTAAATTGAAAACTTCTGGTTTTGAGACTGTTGGTAGGACAAACCAAGACACACTGTATGCCGACACCGAATAGAAAGCTGGTGTATGTTTCCACTGTACTGTTGAGTGTGGTTGTGTCCTCTTTCAGCCATTTCAAAAGGTAAAATTATTTAGGACCAAGTCAGTATAGCAGTGTCAGCTGGGGTGAAGTTTCTCAACTTAAATCTAGATCACAAAAGTACAAGTGTGTACACTGCTATAATTACAAGCCAGTATGCAAACTTTGACCAAAATATTTTATCTGACTGTAAAGTCTGATTTTTAAAAAGTACTGAGTGCTTCTTCCAACACTGTGGATCTGCTGTCACAAAGCGTTTACATATCTACACCTATATGAAGACCACTGTTTTGGTGTTGGGTTCCTTTATTATGGAACCAAAGACTCTTCCAGCTATGAGAAGTTTAGTCATCTACATAACCCCAGCAAATGCCAACATTATTAATTTTTAGTTAAATACATAAACACATATTAACTAGGCCATGGTGGAGAGTTGGGCCCCTGACAAAGTGGGAAAGGCCTTATCACGACAGCGCTGTAACCCTGAATATAGATAAAGACATATACTGTATTTAGATAAACTAAATATAAATAAACATAAATATAAAAATACCCTCAAATAAACCCCCTCCGCAGGAAACTACGGTGAAAGTACAAAATATCAGTGAACACAGGACATTGTATAAGGAACTAATGACGGATGTCAGCACCCACTGCTGGAGTGTTAAAATTCTCACCTTTGCTTTTAGCATTCCAAAGCCCACTGTCTCTTTGGCGTACATACACAGCAGCAGGTTGGCAACACGAGTAATGGCCACTCTTCCCTCCTACGAGAGGAAATAAGAGAGACTGACAAAGTTCCTCACTCATCGTACACCTGATGATATTTGTTTTTTGGAGGGTGGGGGTGTTAGGGTGATTTTATTTTAAGGAACACACACCCACAGGGGACTGAACCTCTTACCATACAATCCATGAGTATGAATTTGAGTTTGTCTTCATTGAAGGCTTGGTGGCCGTTCTTATCGTAGGCTGCCCAGATGTTGCTAGCGATGGCAGCTGTCACACGTGCATCTGTGTCCCCATATCCAGAGTAAGCCAGAAGTGAACCTTCATTATTCAGCAACCTGGTGATAATATGAAATTGGATGCCTCAGTATCCAGGAGACTAACTTGTTAAAAATACTGTATATTGCTACAGACCGCCTGTGTATGGGGTCTATTCAAGCCATCTCTCTCAAGCTACCTAACATTAGCATTATCCACAGCAGGAACAAGGGATGTAGTGGAGCAGCAGACCACATGAAGCTTAACAATGTAATCATAGTACACTGTATAAAAAGTAACAGAAACCTGTATGAACTACACATATACAGCAATGTCAATTGTTATGACTAATGTTGCTTGCTCGTCCTAGACTAAATTTATTTAGCTGCAGTTTTCGCCTCTGGTACATTCAGACTCAGTGGTACACTATCTTTTAGAAAAACGGATAGTAACCTCAGTTATTCGAAAATATGCACATACACGAGAGACACAAACTTAGACTAATTTATCTTATGTGGTTGCAAGCTTAATAAGCTTGAATTAATAAGAAGACCGTATTTGAACTAAAGCACAAAATTTAAACATGTGTAGATATGTATGGACATCTTAAAATAGTGTTATATTAATTATCAAAAACCATATTCTGTTCCAAGCAACACTTCTGCAGCATGCTACCAGCTAGCTAACCGTACTCACAAAGTGCTTTGGACTCCGTTTGTGTTCGCTTGGCTGAGAACCTGCGTTAAAGCCTTCGGTCGTAACATAACTGACTACTCACTAAAGTGTGACGACGCAAAACAAAAAATACTAAAACAATTTTCTCAGGCTAATCAACTAGCTTTAAACTATCAGTAAAATAGTCAGCTGATTGTGGACGGGTTTTCTTCCTGTTCCGATTGCAATGCATCATGGGAACTGTAGGCAAATCTTTATAAACTATTGGCTTGATGAGAGCATAGCGTTTTTATTGATTTATTAACACTTTTGCAATGTTTAGCTAAAAGCCAGAAGTATATTTAGTCAAGACGAGTACTGCACTACAGTTTCAAGAATAAGTTGAACTTTGCATTTTTACTGTTTTTGTCCACCAATATGACTGAGGTAAAAACATAGTTGTAGTCCATTACATTTATCCTTATTGTTTGCAGTTTGAGATTTTATGCGCAAGATTTAGTTTTTTAAGTTTCATATTAAAACTATCCCACCATAATAAATTAGAGTGTAAAAGAAAAATACACTGAAAATGAGCAATGCAACATAGGCTTTAGGTAAGTTTTAGGATTTCCACTTGAAAGAATTGTGTGCTGAGATTTTAAAAGTTTGTATTTGCTAAATTTACGCAATTTTTCACTGCACAGCCGACTGACTAAGATATTAAAGAAATTTATTTTGATTTCTGGGGGGTGGTTACACTTACTAACAATAAATATTAAAATAATTTAACAAATAAAAATAACAAATTATTCAACTGAACAAAAGACAACTTAGGTAAACACAGAACAATACACTTCACAGATAATTTTGCGATATATAGCAGATTCCAACAGTTATATTTAGAAACTAAAATGCTTGTATGGAAATATACAGCTACATTATTGTGAAATGATTTGTTATCATCTCTAATCAGGTGGACATTACTACATGCATTTCTAAGGAAGGTTTTAGGAAAGAAAATACAAAGCATTTAGAATCTGTCAGGGTAAAACTTAACTGAAGGAATAAAGATCAACTAGCTAAGATGAACTAAGACTCGTGGAAAACATATTAGGCCAGCAGTCTCTCGAATGATGAGGGCCCGCAGGTTGGCTTCACGGTTGATGAAGCCCATGGTGTTGAGCTGGTTGAGCTGCTGCTGGAAACAAACCTCCGGTATCTGAAGCTGTACGGAAGGAGATGATGCAGGGAGTCAGATAGTACTTATTTATAGAGGTGGATCTTTAAGATTGTGATTACAGCCTTTCTTTGGTGAGTGGGATAATTTCACCCAATACTTCTGTATACCTATACCTGCTGATGTTGATACATTTGTTTTTCCTTCAGTTTATATGCTTGAACTGGTATTAATTTCTTTCACAACACCTACTTCAACTGACACAGTGCTTGAAAACCAACCAATACTCATCTTAAACTGACACTTCATCTTTCTTCAGTGATAGTTTTTTAGCACTTCCATTGTAAAGGACATTTCAGCTTCTTTGAGAAACCATTTTCCACTGCCTCTTCACATGTAACAGTTTCCAGTACTGCATCTGTTTCAAATGTTTCAACTGCAAATTTTAAGGATTTATCAACTTTTAAACTGGACACCAAAAACAAGAACAATGGTGGATTATCAACTGGGCAAAGGTGGCATCTGCACATTTTTTTAAAGAAGGTGCAGTTTCACTGTGTGGTAGTAGTTTTTGGTAACTGGATTAATTGCAAATGTATGTGGAAATCTGCATCAGTTACTATAAATAACAGCTGGATCCTGCTCTATTAAATATTTTTTGTTGTGGCCCTATTTTGAAGAAGAGTGCTCGCATGATGCCTTTTCCTAGATAAAGTTGTGTTTCATTATCTTACCACAATGTGACATAGAAAACCTAGAGGTAATTAGCCTTCCCGTGTAGCTGTACTGGTTGCTTCTTTAATATTTGTGAAAAATATAACTAATGAGACTGTCATCTATTGTGTGTACTTGATGTCACCCTAAACTTAAAAGGAAGCAACAAATGCCAGGTTGCAAACCTTTTGCCCCAACCAATCAAGTTAATCCAGCCACGCACAAAAGAGGTTGGTAACACTAGTTCTTCCTCTCTCCTCCCCCTCCTCTCCTGTTACTTGATGTACTTTTTTTTCTCTTCTCTGTTCACCCTCCCCAGATGGTTGAAGCAGATGTCTGCCCACCAAGAGCCTGGTTCTGTCAGCTGTTTCTTCAGTTAAAGGGAGTTTTTCCTCCCCACTGTCGCTTCTTCAAAGGGGGGTTGTTGGGGTTTTCTCTATATACAGTACCTTACTATGTAAAGTGTCCTGAAATGATTGTTGTTGTGATATGGCACTATACAAATACAATTGGACCAAATAGAAGTGACGCCATCAGTTAAGCGTAGACAAAGGTCAGTAAATAGTCTCACAGATCTGATGGCCATTATCAGCACTTATACTGACTTAGTAATGCTGGTCAACAGCACCCCACCTAGGTTCTCCTATCAGCGCCCTGTCACTCTGAATGGTGAACAAATCATGTACGATAAATCACTATCAGGTATATTGCACAAACACTGATATCACTGTAGAAAATCATTCTCCAGGAAACTTGGCCTTTTCTCAGTCTTTGTTCATTACTGTTCATGCAGTAAGTGTTGCTTAAAGTTAACTCCTTCATCTTCTTGTCTCTTCTCCTTTATTGCATGATATATATATATTTTTAAGGTTTTCCATATATGAATCAAGGTTCTAAGTAAGGAACGTGGTTGTCATATGCTGTACAGATTGTACAGTCACCTGGAACTAATTTGACTATAGGCGTTGTCCTCTGCTTTCTGTTCAGAATAATGTATTGTATGTACACATGTATACATGTGACACTGTAAGTGACGTTTCTCTGAGCTCAAATAAAAAATTGATGATTAACACATAGAAATATAATTTGATTTTGGAAGCTAACCTGGATCTAATAAGCAAATTAAAGAAGTGTGATATGCAGGCCTATACCTTCCAGCACATATATAATGAGAATGGGTATCATGGTTAAGAAGGAAACATTTTATCTTTAATAGTTACATTCTGAAAATGAACTATATTCCTATTTTAACCATCTGGAATTTTTTTTATGATAAGAGAAAAAAGTTATGTGCTTTTGAAGATTTTTAATAAATTAATTTTTGGATAACCCGAATGGCATTTATTTTTCAAAACAGTATTTGTGGAAGGGACTACAGATGTATACACATGCTTTTTCCACAAAAGTGTGGAAACACATTTCCCATTTTTAACAGCCGTGCATCTAACAGCAACCACTGACACAGTCTGTTAAAAGTCACCAGTTAACGCAATCATTAGCAGACCCGAAACACCTGCTAACTGGATGGGAAGCAGATTCCCAACTTAGGAAACCACTTTAAAAGTGTTTTTACACTATACATATCATGAAGATACAGGTTTGTTGTAAAAAAGTTGTGGGGGATGGACTTTTTGGCACTCTCCCCCTAATGAATTTGAGAGCACACTTCTGTGACAGAATCGCAAAATAATGAGGACAGAAACTAGACCCGAGAACTTAAGACCATTCAGCGTGATACAAAATAAATGTATGATTCCATGTCAATCTGTAAACAAAATGTTGGAGGTTAACTCTAGCTTCCTAGCACGATCCCCTTTCGTTGCCAGATGTTTTGAAAAAAATCTGTAAATAGACCTGAGCGACAGAACGGTCCTCCAAAATTCTAATATCTTATGACCCTTTTGGGGTTTTAATGGTAATCACTATAAACTTATCATCTCTTTTGGTCAGTGATATGAGTTCCTGCCATCTTTACTACTTAACTACTCCTTGTCTTTGTTACTTCCGGAAGAGTTGATCCCACATGTTGCTGCCACTAATCGATCGTTAGTTTTGGGTTAAGACCTGAGTCGTGGAAAAATGCAGTATTTTGACATTGTTTGACTGTACCAGCGGTGTATTTAAAGGATAATTTATTTGAGTATTTCATTTCAATGCTATCTACTTATACATTGTACTTCTTACACCATTACAGGTATCTGACAGATACAGTAGTTAATTTACAGATTTATATTTTATATCCATAGCCTAGTTGACTGGATTTTAAAATATGACAGCTGTTTTCATTTAAGAACCCAATATAGTTGTCACTCCACCTCGCCCAGCACCACAATTAAAATATTTCTTTATGCATATGTAATAATAATCCAGTAATAGTACATATATAATAATGTAACACTTGTCAGGTCCTTTTGATAGTAAATGTAGACAGTAATACTTCTGTACTCAAGTAACATGTTTTCTAGGAATTTTTGTTGTAATGATGTGTTTCTACACACTGGTATTGCTTTTAAGTAAACTATCTGAATATTTCTTCAATCATTCTTCTTCAGTCACTTGTCCTCACTTGTTATTATTGTTGTACTTGTATTATTGTACACTTGTTATTATTCATAATTAACTAAAGTTTTGAAATTTATAACTGAATTGTTATAATTAACATATTTCCAATCATATATTTTAAAAATGTTAATTTCTACTTAACAGTGATTCTGAATATGTTAGATGCAGTCTATTCCTTGGCTGTTCCTTAGTTCTGATTTTAACTGATACCTTTCTGTACAAGCTGTTGGCAAACATGTCCACCACTTCTGTAGTAAGGTCATACACATATTCACTCTTTGGCACTCATTGCACAGTTTAGTAATAGTTTTAAAAAATATTTTTGAGTTGCACTGGTGTGGCTTCTTTCACTGCAGATAACTCCTTTTAGAAATCAAGTCTAATCTGATCCAATTTTTTTTCTATGCTGTCAAGGGACCCACCTTATGAAAACACCACAATCTGTACAAACATGTTTGATTGGCCTACACCAAGAACAATCATTCTGAATGTCCACACCTGGAATTTGTCAGATAATCAAGCAGTATAAGTTATGGATTTCTTGTTGTGCTGTCTACATTTTGACCATTGGAACAGTTTGCTGAGAAATCCTCCTTGCTCTACGGTATAGTAAAAACTGTTACATTTTAAATGACATTGTTAATGAAAACCTACCAAGTACCTTTAAAGTAGTTATCTATTGATGCATGTCTTTTATTCATAATAATTTTGTTGTGATAAATGCATAATTTTTACAAATCTTTTGCTAGTGCTCACATTTCCACAAGAATGAAGACTGGTCACAAGTGTCTGCTTGTCCCCTATATCTTGTTGTCTCTCATGTAAGTATGATATGAAAGATTTGAAGGTAAAATACAAAGAGTATTTTTAGGCTGCAGCTTGATGATATCGGAGCCAATTTAACAACCCCAAATCTCCTTCTAAATCATCAGGGTTTTGTGCCATGGCTCAGACGTGTTCTTTAATGACAATGCAAACCTCATACTCCCGGGGTCTTACAATATTCCATGGATGGCAGGCATTCAGGATTTCCGCACCCTCTCTCTCATCACCATCCCTGGCACACATGACAGCATGGCCGTCCATGGAGGTCCCGAGGCAGAATGCCAGGTCCTGTCCCTGAGGGATCAGCTGAGGGCTGGCATTCGTTTCCTGGATCTCAAAGTCTTTGGACTGGGTAACACCCTCTATGTCATGCACGGGGTGATGTACGAGCACAGCACACTCAAGGATGTCCTTGACACAGTTAATGCTTTCCTGTCTGAGTTTAAGACTGAAGCTGTGCTCATTAGAGTGCAACCTGAGTCTTTTGAGAAGAGCACAGTCAATGAAATGGTGCGAAGTCTTATTGTCAATTATCAACATGTCTGGGTGGCTTCTGGAATGCCAAACATGGGACAAGTCAGGGGGAAAATTGTCTTTTTGCAGAAGAGCACTTTTGGGGTGGGGAATTGTCTTTTTGCAGAAGAGCACTTTTACACTAGGAATCCCCCTCATAGATACAGCTGTGAAAGGTAACTCTAAGGTTAGTAACGTTAAGGACAAAGATAACAAAATCATCCATCAGCTGAACCAAGCCACTGAAGCCTGTGGAGGTGATAATGCTGTTCTGACCTACACTAGTGGTACTGGCTTTGGTACTTTCTGGGGAATGTTTCTGACTCCAAAAAGGGTGGCTGAACGGGTAAACCCATGGCTGAATCAGTACCTGAGACAGTTCTACCCAAACCAGCCCAGACCGTGCTTCGGTATCATTGCCATGGACTTCCCTGGCTTTGACCTCATCCAAACTGTTATTGGTTTGAATAGGTGGTAGAGGTTTGGGAGCTCTGAGCCATGTGTCATGTATATGGGAGGGTGTGGGTTGGAATCTTATGAATCTGATGACACTTTCTGTATCTTTCTAGTCACTTCTCATATTCATACATATAGCAGAAATGTCTGGTTTTCCAAAGTGTAATATGAAAACTCTTGACTTTCTATTGTGAATTGTGTAATTTTGGGAGCAATGGCACTGACATTTTCTGAACTTAATAATGACAAAAATAAATTTTATTTGATCTTCGTTCATCTGAAGCCTGTCTTTTCAATGACTGGATCTAGTTTGCACTCCTTGTATTACAGTGCTGGAATAACTATTCTATATAGGTGTCTACATTTTTGTCCTCTCCAGCTTCCAACACGGTCAAAATATTAGGAACACCTCTGAATACAATGTAGTCAAATACAGCCCCACCTTTAACTATGACCTCAGTAATAAACACAGAATTGAATATATACATTTATGACAATTTTGACAAAAACTGAAACCTTTTGAGCTTCATAAACACAAACGTTAAGGTTGAAGTGCTGCATTGAATTGCATACAGTTGTAAAGGTACCTAATAAAGTGGCCAATAAGTGTACATAAAAATTATGATTCAGGAAGTATCTTATACAATAGAGCGGAATTTCTCATATAATTTCATTTCTCTGTTGCCTTTGGGATCATAAACACTGTGACTGAGAAGTGCCCAACTACATGCCTGATGAGAACCTGACCAACATACAGTAAATGTCCCAGTGTGCATCAAACAAACTAGGCCATTTTCTGAATGTAACTGAACAAAGTTGTCTTGATTATCTTTCAAAGCCTATCAGAATTAGTCCTCCCTTCATTTTTGGTCATTTCTGCAAGCCACTGCTCTGTTTCCAGTCAGAGAATTGGTTTATTTTAGCTGAAATAATCCATAAGAGATCAATTTTGTTTAAACTGATTAAAGTGTAACATATTCTCAGATACTCCCAGTATTACAAAGAGCTCCCCTGCTTCTAGGTGCCTTAAGTGGGTTTGGTATTACAGCAGAACATTGTAGGTGGTTGGTTAAACATTTCAAACTCGCGATCTCTATGGCCCTGGCTGTCTCTGCTACATTATCTCATGATTTGGGCTGTAGGAAAAGCATATGCGCCGAATAAAAACCACCACAGACTGTTTACATTTGTTTAGATTAATCAATTCATCTAAACAAATGCTTATTGTATGCTTATTGATCTGCCTCAATATGCAAGCTTTTATGCATGCATACCTCCAAGATCCAGTGTGGAGGACTGAAGAGTTAAGAACAAAGTAGGTGTTTGCTGGTGTTAGGTATTTTTAGTTAGATAGATATTGGTTAGATATTTTATGTATTAGAAATGTTTAGAGTAGACAGGATGTCTAGCTCAGGCTGTTAAATGCTTAGTCATTCCCATGGGGTACTCCAGGTTGTTCATGTTCAAGGATAACTAAATAGAAAGTTGATTACTGTTAGGAGACAGAATGTTTATTATTATTATTATGACGTGTTTAATCATAATCGTAATCATATTATTTTCTTATGCTTGGTGTCATGACATGTCACTAGATGTTATGTCAGAATGTCTTAGATACACACCACACAATCAACAGACAATCACACATTGATTTTCTTCATGCTTTGACTACTGCTATGGCCAGCTGCACAGCTGAAACCGGAGACATCACGGATTGGCGTCCCTGTAGTATGGGGTTAGCCTAATATGGGGTTAGCCCGAAGTGATATAATGTATAGGCCTGTTGTGGTTCAGGGTCTTTCATCTTTCAGCTGCCTGCGTGCATGTTGGCGGTGACAGAGGAGGTGCAAAGACTCCTGAGTGTGTAATGTTCATTTTTACCTGTGTTCATTGAATAAATCAGCACTGTTTTGAAGTTACTTGGACTGCCTCGTCTCTCAGAGTTAATGGTGAAAAGAACTGGGTATCCAACACTGGTAAGAAAAAATGTCTGTATTTTGCTTGTATGTATAATGCTATGTGGTTTCTGGGTCAAAGGGCACATTTCAAAACTATGGACAATGTTCAAAGGAAATCAGAAATCTGAAATCTGGCCCATGGCTAAAGGCCACTGATTCATATATATGTCTGCAGCTTGTTGTTTCACTCTGTTACCTGGTTTAAAGTTCCATAGGCATTAATCAGACCACAGTGAACAATGTAAATGTATGCACAGAATACATCTGTACAGGCATACAGTTTGAAAGTGAGCACTCAATCCATTAAGGTATAAATACTGTATAAAATATTTTCCTCCTACCATGTTGACAAAATGACTTTAACAAGGATTGTCCAACCTTTTCCCTCTGTAATACATATTTTCATTTATGAGAAGTGTAACTCTGTAGATAATATAGTGAGATGACTGCTCCTGTTAACTGATGAAACAGAAATGAATGCATTTGTTTCAATAAAATTATTGCATGTAAAAACATAGTGCAGATTTTGTCTCCATCGCAATATATATTTTATTTTTTTCAATATATAGCCATACATGATCCATACTTATATTGTAGTATATCGAAAAATAAAGGTACTAGTTTTCAATATTGTAGTGACCTCCGGCGCGGAGGAGAGGAGCGAATCCTAACTGTGCAGCTAACTAGCTAGCGGGGTGCTAGCACCTACGTAAGACTAACACTGTTACGACCGGGCTCCGTGCACCGCACAGCTCTAACAATCCCTCGAGGATCACACCTTCCCCTTATGTCAATGGCACAGTGTGCACCCTCACCCTGAATTGCTCTTCAGTGGCGAAATTCACTGTTCTCATATCACAGCAGACAGCCAGCTCTCACTTCCGGCAGTCAGTTCTCAGTCCCGGCAACAACAACTAAC